TACAGAGCTTGCAGTACATGACACTTTAAGCTGGTTGTGATAGAAATTTGCAAAGATGGATCATTGTCCCACTCGCCTATTACATGGTGCAAGAAACACCAAATATTTATTTTGTTTATTATGAAGTTTCATTTTTTTTTACACATTGGCTGATTCTGAATTGGAGCCTGTTTGGTTGAAACTTTTAACATTGTTTGGGGTAGGTCTGAAATCAGGTCCAGGTCGAATCATTTGAAATATTTTGCTTTTCTTTTAATTTATATGTGTAAGGGTCATGTGTAGAAGTGGTTATGGTTGGATGTCTAAATTAAAAGCCTTTGTATTTGGTATCATTCTGACATCCAGCTCTGGGATTGTAAAAAACTTAAACTTGGAGGTTTTAATTCTCAAGTCCACTCCAATTGTATGTGATGCTGACGATTTACTGGCTGATAGCGCCCTCTACTGCCACCGTTCCTGTGATTAATGATTAGAGAGCTAGGGGCAAAGGGGTGTGGAGGTAGTTCAGTTCTAAAGTAAAATGTGCATCCAGTGAGGTTTTTTACTTATTTTTTCTGTCTTTCTTTCCTTTATGATAGAACCTGTTAATTCAGCAGCCTTGCTAACCTGGATATTCAGTGGCAATGAACCTGATTACACAGAATCAGAACAGGCACGATGACCAAACTGCAAACACCCGAGTGATCATGGCAGCGCTGTCTGCATACAGTGTTTCACATGTGTTGTTTAATGCCTTTTGTTTTCAAAACAAGTCTTATTCTTGTGAAGTTGAACAATTTTGCTATTTTATTTTTTATTTTATATTATTTTATATGTTAATACACACGTAGAAGAAAATTACTGCAGAAGTCCAGCAACTCTTTTCGATTGGATAATTAAATGTTTACATCTTTAGCACAATGTGCCAAAGTTCCTTCCAGGAAGAATGAAAAAGGGGTGAACGCCTTTGGGAAATGCAGAAATGGTCGTGTTGGGTGCACATTTTCCCACAGATTGTTGTTGTTCCGTTTGAGTTTGAGTTCAGAGGGCAGGATGTGAGCTGCTGTGCTAATCTGGTGTCAGCTTTTATCATGGTGCAGGATAATTGATGTGGCTGCCTCCTTATTTGATGTCTTCACATTTTTTGGAAAAACACCAGCTGTGTAATGGAAATAGATGTAAATGTCTGTAAAACATCTGTTGAGGAAGAACTAGTTTTTTTGTGTGTATGTGTGATGGAAACAGTTTAGAGCTTCATTCAAAGGGAAGAAGGATATTCTCAATCAGGCGGTCAGACATCTTTATTATCATTCAAAATGGGAGTAGAGTAACTAAACACAAAGGAAACAATCAAAGGGTTTATTCGATGAAGTTGAACGAGAGAAGGTGTAAAGGTCAAGTTTTATATCTCAGATTTTGTAAGAGTAGTCGTGTCAGACTGAGAGACGTCTTCCCCCTCTCAACCCACCTCAAATCCCCTTTTAGGATTAACAGAAGAGAATGCACGGACATCCAGCTCAGCATTGCTCCTCCATCTACTATATACTCTATACGAGTGTCTGTAATGGTGTGTTTGAGTCAGGGCGTAAGAAAGGCTTAATATGCACATAAGACAACAAAGTGTAAACTTCTCATCGACCAGTAATGACTTAACAAAAACATGACATGGTAAACATCAGCATCCGTAGGGAGTGAAATGAACTGATGGATTAATGTTTTTTCTATGAGGAATGTGGCTTCATTCAATGATTGAATTACGAGGTGGGTGATGTGGCACGAGGGGGTTACACATGTAAAAGTGTATATTTTTGTATATACCTACATCCGTGTATGTACAGTATGTACATATATACACAGTGTACTCAGCCGCGGTTCCTAGTTTTGTTGTCAGACTGTACAGCGCTTCTAACTGTTCCCTGTTTTATAGATACTGCAGAAAATTCAACTTTGAATGAGGAGAAATGATTAACTTAAATAAATGCATTTATATATATAAACTAAACGGTGTCGGGTGTTTTGATTGGCTTCAGTTATGTGATGGTGGAGGCTCCACATCAACCACACAACAGAGTATGTTGATGTTTCTCTTGGTACACCTCTCTGAATGTGGACTGCTGCGTGTAAATGATAATAGTAATAATCTTCATTTATGTAGCGCTTCTCAAAACAAAGTTACATACATGTGTGTGTATATATATATAAACTATGGTTAGATCAAATCAAGGTACGTGTTATGATAAAAGTAAGCTGGATTCAAAGGATGCTATTGACTCAGCCTGACATATTTCTTCAGGCAGGGTGTTCCAGAGCCTCGGAGCTCTTATTTCAAAAGCTCTTTAAAAACCTGTTATATCCCACTGCTGCTGCTTTGCAGTTCTTCAGTGTTATTGAGTCAGCTGCTTGTTAGGTGATGAAATCATCTCTGAAATGCCTCTGGTCTTCTCATCCAAGGATGGGAAAATATCATGAAGTGAAACATGAATTTTACATTTATCCTGATTACTATTTAATGATGTGAGTGTTATTCTTCCATCAAAAGCTGGTACTTAGATTCCAATCTAAAAATTTGGTGCAAATATGTTGTGCTATGGGGCAACTTTTCGTCCTGAACTAGATTGCACAGTTCTTCCTTAATGTAAGCTCCAAATTCTATAACAGATGGGTAATATTTCTTCTGGGTTACTAGGACAATGGCAATATGGTTATTGCATTAGGCTACAAGTGACTCATTTATAATGTATAAACAGTATTTTTATCCGTCTCAATAAATTGCCCCTTATTGTTCTAAAGAAATCAAAAGTTCTAAATAAGCAAATAGTATTTTATACATCTGTAAACAACTGCCATGATTCTATAGAACATCACGGTGGGTTACATCTGTGAAGATTAATCACTGTGTTCTCTTGCTCTGTCCGCCTATTCTGGTAAAATTCAACATGTTTCCGCCAAATGACCTGGAAAGGCCTCAGGGCACCTTGAAACATGAGACGTCATAATAACTGAGATTGGTGCAAATTGTGGCCCCTAATTTAGAAAAATCCTAGATCTGTTACTGACACACTATAACAAGTTTGGGGAAGCAGCTTTCTGTTGCTTTGGAACAAACTTCCAACACATCAGAAAAGCTACTACCTTTGGGCTGCATGTATGAAAGGTGATGAGAAGTACAATTTAATGTTATTATTATTATTTATTATCATTATGCACGCGTGCCTGTTTTGTCGCCTCTCCAGCAGAGGGCGGTAGAGGCCCCGCCGCACACACTCAGAGCAGTGGAGAGGAAGAAGGGGCTCAGGCTGACGGGGGGGTGACCAGGGAGCACGTCGCTGCTGGTGTTCGGTGGTTGTGACTGAACTGAGGAGCTTAAAGAACCATGAAGAACGAGGGGATCGAGGGCACGGAGCGGTTCTTGAGCCCGGACAAAGGCAGAGGCCTGCGGGCGCTGAGGCACTTCGCGGTGGGGGAGCTGGTGTTCGCCTGCCCCTCGTTCTGCTCCGTGTTGACAGTGAATGAGAGGGGGGTGCACTGCGAGCACTGCTTCACCAGGTAACAGCCCACTCCTCTGACACTGCTGGGGGGGGACAGGACGAGCGAACACACCTCCGGGACGTGAAGCTCCGAGCCGGTGGCTGAACGCAGTGGAAGATGGTGGTGTGTCCAGTTGAGCTAACCTGATTACCTAGCTAGGTTAGCCGTTAAACCTCCGGACAACCGCCGGGCTGCTGCACACTTTAACTGGGTCAGTGCGGTGAGGCAGCTCCCCTGACTTCACACTGCAGCCACAACCAGACGAGCACAGATACAACCACAACAACGTTACTGTGCTTTACACTGTAAAGTAAGAACCTGCTCTCCTGTAGACCTACTGAGCCTATTAACGTCTTTAGCATGATGCTAATGCTCACAGGTTGTTGAGGGAGCACTGACTTCACTCAGCCTCCATGGTACCAGATTCAGCATTTGTTACTCTCAGGTTTACTCTCATGTATTTGCTATAAGAGGATCATCGCAACATTTAAATGTCTGTCCCATGCTTGCATCAGAGTCCCGACACGTGTCTCTGTGTGTAGACTGTATATAAAGAGGTAGGCATCCTGTGTACTGAGGGTTCCACTGCTCTGGTTGTCCAGCTTGCCTGCATGTCTCGTTAAACTGTGATGCACTATCACACACACTTTGGAGTTTAAAGAGCTTCACTGTCACACACCGTCATTCACACACATGCGTCCTACACAAGTTGAGGTTGGTGGAGCAGTAAAAGGTTAGGGTGCTAAATATAGGAGTCCATTTGTCCCAAGAGAGGAGGAGCCAGGAGATGAGAAGGCCAGAGGTGCTTGTGTGCAGTGGGGGTGGACGTGTGTGTACATTTCCTATTTTCAGTCAGTCGCTCAGTCCAACATTGTGGTTATCACTTAGGGCTGGGCAATAAAATGATATCAATAACCATCACAATATAATATCCATCAATAACTATTTCAAAAGTTGAGCGACCTCATATTTATAAAATGTTTAGTTTTTGTCGTTCTCAGCTCATGACAAAGAGTTTAAAACCACAATCTTCATTTGGGCCCAAAATCAGTCGTCTTTAAAATTAACATCAATAATAATGTGACATTTATTGTGATAATTATCGATATCAACTGATGTGAACATTTCTATATCGATCGTTTTTGTTCTTATTGTCTCAGATATGACCTTGTTGTAAGATTCATGTTGTAATTAAGAAGATATTTAAAACACAGTGATCTTAAACATCTGCTTTTTAATTTTATGAAATTGTTTGATCTGGAAAAGTTGTTTTAATTGTTAGAAATGTAATCGTTACTTCTTACCCTAATGTTTATGGAGCAGTGATGAATAAAGTCAAGGTTTAGAAATGAACTAATTCCTGTTGGTGTTGGAGCTCAGGTCCTGTGAATCTAGGTTATTTCACATTATATATATCAAATTACATTTGAATTCTACTTGTAAAACATCTATACTGGTCTCATTTTGATAGTTGAAGCAAACAAACAAGCTGTGTCGCTATGTCATTACAGGAGAGAAGACCTTTTTAAGTGTGGCAAATGTAAGCAGGCCTTCTACTGCAATGTGGACTGTCAGGTAAGAGTGGTTCATGAGCTTCATAAGTGTGTGTGCGTCTTTGAGAGTGTGCCAGTTTCCTCAATTGAATAAAGGAATAAGCTATGAAGATATTTTGTTTTATTTAAAAAATAGTATACATTTCTGTAACCTGTCCTACAAACATCTGTCTTGGTCTTTTCCATTTGACTGTTTGACACTTGATTTACTCTTTGTCAGTTTGAGCTCTCTGTTGTGTTAAACATGGGACTTTTGCTTCACCAACACCATCACAGAGTAAACTGAAAGAAACGTAGTATTGTGGTGTGACCCACATTGGCAACTTGGACCAGAGAGCACTCAGGCACACTGTTGTTGCTATGACGATTCAGGCTGCCTCACTTTTGCCTTTGTCTAGTTTTAGAATCATGGCACAAATCACTCTGCGCTGCAGTAAAATAGAAGAATTTTTATGTGTGAGTGTGAATGAATGACACTTTGTGATCGTATAATTATTCTTCAGCCATTCTATACATTTTTTTCTTTCCTTCCAACTTCATTCGGTGTATTTTCTGTTGAACAGAATTACTTGTGATAAGGGGGTTTTGTTCCACCGTCTGTTATTTCTCTCTTCCTCTCTATGTTGATGCAGAGAAGTGATTGGTCCATGCATAAGCTGGAGTGTTTAGCCATGTGTGCCTATGGGGAGAACTGGTGTCCGTCAGAGACTGTCAGACTGGTGGCCAGAATTATCATGAAACAGGTAAAGTAATAAGAAGCAGGAAGAAATGATTCAACATCCTTTTATTATGAAAAACATGGAAAAGTTAAACATAACCAGCAAATGAGGATCAAGTGAAGTCAGAGAAGATGGGTGTGAGATGCTATCACTGAATAATTGAAATATAGATAAGTGAGGTAAAGACACAAGGCAGTGAGTCTGGAAATGTATTAATCTAATGCATCTAATGTTGCATTGTCTAAACATTAGGTTTTATCTTAGTGAGTTTGACACTGTAAACAACTTTAAACTAAAATGAATAACCATGAATGTACACTCAAATGATGTAAATGAATTTAAAACAAAATCCACATTAAATCTTCTAATGTTCTAATCTTGCATATCCTGAGTTAACCAAATGTTTTTTTCTTGCAGAGAGTCACAACAGAGCGCTCCCCTTCAGAGAGGCTGCTGCTGCTCGGAGAGTTTGAAGCCCGTAAGTGTGTGAACAAATGAGTGTATATATTTAATTACACATGTCTGAACTTTTAGTTACATGGTGCAGTGTGTGTGTGTGGATGTGTGAGAGCTTCCTTTGTCTTTTACAGTTGTAGCAGCATATATATATTGTCTGCTGTATCCTCCAGTCCTGCTTTTATCTTTTTCATTTACTAAATCTGCAGCAGCACTGGGACTTAAGTCCCAAGCTTCTGGGTGCTTTAATTTCATGATCAGCCCCCTAACTACTACATCCATCACTACTTTGTTTAAAGTACTACTTCTACTAATGTATTGGCCCAAACACACACAAATCAAAACAATGTTCCGTCTCAGCACCCACTCAGTGTTTTCTCTGCTCCTGTTGGTATTTTCATTTAATCTGAGCTGTTGTTGAAGGCTCATATGTGTCACCAGCGGATTGTCACAGAATTAACCTTCACGACTGTCTCTTATACACACAAAGCAAATCAGTGGCCAGCTGTCACCAGTCTGTGTGAGTGTGTGACTGACGATGACACATGGCCTGTAGCAGTGGCATACTATGCACTTAACACTGAGGGGTGCTGTGTGGTAGACGGTATGTCATCGATGGTAGTGGTAACAAACCACAACCAAATTCTTACAGATAATATTTTGGATCAACATTTAGTCGTTATCTTGTCATTATTGCTGACAGATTAATATGTGCTTTGTGACATTGCTTTTTGTTCTCAAGGGGGTTTGCATATTTAAAAAAGTATTTATTTTAGATCGCTTGTAAAAGCAAATGCTAATAATTACACAAAGACACAAAGTAGTCTTTCTGTAGTGTGTGGCCTGTTTTTGACTTGCCCTGTCTGTCTTCTGATTTGGTTCTTTCTTGTCCCCTCTGTCCTTGTCTTTTTGTCTGTTTCATTGCCTCCTCTAGATTTAGATAAGATGGACAGTGAGAAGGAAGAGATGAACCAGACGGACATAGCAGCACTGCATCACTTTTACTCCAAACACATCAGCAATCTTCCAGATGAGCAGGCTCTCACTGAGCTCTTTGCACAGGTAATTTATGAACTCATACTTAAACTGGAACACTGTAGGAATTTGAATGTACTAGAGCAGTGCTCGTTTCAAACCTGCCTGTTTGGAATGGGCTGTTTGCTACTATAAAAGCGACCTGCAGTTATTGAGTCGCAGGAAGTGAAGACCTGAAAGGATGTTTCAGTCTTGTTTTGCAGTTTCTTCAGAGTCACACTGTTTATAAGGTTACTGAAGAACTGTGGTGACAAACATTTGCTGTAGCACAGGGTACCACTTTGTTTGTATGTACCTTGAATTATTTCTGAATGCCTCTTCCACATTTCTAAACTGCTTTTGTGAGCAATAACAGTGCAGTTGGTACTGTGCTGCTGTGATGTAGAGTCAGTCTCAGACAATGAGATTAAACATACTTAAGCCTCTCCCTGAGTCTCCTGTACAAGCTACTCTTCCTTCAGAGGGACACACGTTTTTTTAAAGAAGCACAACATTGTCAAAATAGATTGAAAAAATACATCAACCCCAAATTTGGTGTAATATATTTTTAATGGCCCCTTTTAAGTCCTTAAAAAGTGAAATCCTTAAAAAGGTTTTGTTTCCAGAATGCTCGTGGTTGACTCCTTTGGTTTGTGTCATTAAAGCTGTGTGATTGGTGTCAGGGGTTTTGCCTGTCACACAGACAGGTGTTGACCTTTCTCAGTCTATGGAAGGATCTGCTAGTTGCAACATACACGCCCATATATAAACGCACTGTGGGCAGATGTATAGTATGTTCATGTGTCCACACTACTTGAAATGAAACTACTTCTATCTAATAACTATCCCTCTCCTTTTACCATCCTGCACTCATCTCACACATGTTGTTGAATTGAAGCCAGGATCTGTCTCTCACCCCCGCTGGTCTGTCAGAGGCCCTGTGAAGGACCTCCTACTCAGCTGTCATCCTCCGACCTGCTGCAGTTTGACTACAAATCAAATTTCTCTTCTACATGATTTATTTGTAAACACTGCCACAATCTCAACACTGATATCACACCACCAGTGGAAACAGCATCTTCGGCTTCTTATTTGAGGCTACATTTAATCTTCATGACTGGAGTTTCTTCTTCTCAGTGGAAGGAGTGTGATAGCACGGTAGAGCAGAGAGTGGTGGGAGTGGTGGTATCATATTACTCACCCTGCCATTTTTTTTTCTCCATCTTCACCTGTTTTTTTGTGTCTTCTCTCATGCTCTGTCGCTCCTTTTCCTTTCTTTGTTTCTCCAGGTTAATTGCAATGGCTTTACTATAGAGGATGAGGAACTCTCCCACCTGGGATCAGCAGTTTTTCCTGAGTAAGTATTCAGAGTCTTCGCTTGATTGTTGTTCCAGAATCTTTCAGTCGTCAGTAATTAATAATGTCGTCCCACTGTCTGTGTCACGTCATGTCTCTCTCTGTTGTGTGAACAATCATTTTAATAAGCAGTTTCCTTTCAGAGGTTAAATCCCAGCTGCTTCTGATTATTATTATTTTTTATATTGCAAGTTTAGCATTTACATAAAGCATCATGTAACCATCTTTCCCCACACTTGATTTCTTAGTAATTTATTTGTGCTTCTTTCTCTTCCTTCCAGTGTAGCACTGATGAATCACAGCTGTAGCCCTAGTGTCATAGTTACCTATAAAGGAACAGTGGCTGAGGTCAGAGCTGTTCAAGAGATAAACCCTGGAGATGAGGTAAGAAAACGCAAGAATCATTTAGCAACAAATTACAGAAATACAGATGTTTATTTCTCTCTCTCTCCCTCTCTCTCCCTCTCCATAGATCTTTAACAGTTACATAGACCTGCTCTATCCAACAGAGGACAGGAAAGAGAGGTTGTTGGATTCCTACTTCTTCACATGCCAGTGTACTGAGTGCACCAGCAAGTCTAAGGTACCTTTGGCTGTTCCTTTCTGCATCTCAAACAGTCTCTTAGTTTTTGAAAACACTTTTTAAACACGTGGCAAAAAAATTTCACTTGTGATCTTATAGAATAATACCAGAAAGAATCTCCTCACCACCGCAGCAGGTTCATAACGGTTTATTTTTTCTTGTCTTTTCATGTCCCCTTCAGGACAAAGCAAAAATGGAGATCAGGAAGCTGAGTTCTCCGGCTGAGCCAGAGGACATCCAGTCCATGGTCCATTATGCCAAGAATGTCATAGAGGAGTTCAGAAGAGCCAAACACTACAAGAATATCCTCTTCCTCAGAATATAACTGTGTTTTCCCTTTTTTCCTCTGTCATTTTTCACTCAGTCTATCACTTTGTCTTCTCTCTTAAATAATGACAACCTTTCATTTCCCTGCCTCCTCTTCTTTTGCTTCATTCTCTGTTATTACTCCTTGACGCACTGGCACCCCCCAGCGAGCTGCTGGAGATGTGTGAGCTCAGCCAGGAGAAAATGGGAGCTATGTTCGCAGACACCAACGTCTACATGCTGCACATGATGTATCAAGCCATGGGCGTCTGTCTCTACATGCAGGACTGGGACGGAGCCATGAGCTATGGAGAAAAGATCATTCAACCATACAGGTACATTGACTCACAGCTGGGATGCAGTCGATCAGGGGTTTTCAAAGTGTGGGAGAGTTTGGTTGTTGAACACATTTTTACACATTTCAAACTTCCGTACTTTTAGAACATTTGTGCTTTTTTTTAAACACATCACATTTTCTTTTTTTACACCTCACATCACCACAATCGAAGAACCCCCGAAGAACTCTGGCGCCCCCTAGGGGAGGCACACCCCACACTTTGAAAAGCCCTGCAGTAGATAATTTAAATGTACAGCGAACACAACTCTGACACAACAGTCAGACATTGGTAGACAGATTCTAAAGCCCGGCAGACATGTTAAGTGGCTGATTCAGCTGCCAGTCTGTTGATTAGAATTTAATCTCACTTGTTAAAGAGTCAACAGTTCTTGTAAAGGATCAGGATTTTAAATCCTGTTTTAGTCTTTTAATAATTAACTTCATTAATTTAGCTTCATTTTGTTACTCAGATTAAAGTTATCAATGTTTTATTTACAAATACACTTTGTTTCCCACAAAAGGATTCTTATCGTACTGACATTATTTACAAGAGTGTGTTGCTTCACTGAATTCTTAAACATGATAATGCCAAACTTATTTTTACTCTGTGTAATACCACACTCAGCAACTTTTACTTTAAGTATCGTGTTCTCCCAGCTTCGTATGGCTTGAACTTTTTTGGCAAATATGACTTTCCCACCTTTGGATGGTTCCTGGACCTTTCTTTTCCCCCAATGAAATCTGACTTACTGACTGCGCCACTGAGAAAACTTATTTTCAACACCGTCTCACATCTTAAGAGCGTTCATATAAAACTGAACATTAAGGCGTTTTTTCCTGAACAACTTAAGATCATTAAGTCTGAAAATTATTCTGAAATAGTTTTAGAGGGGATGTCAAATATGGATTAAAGAAATATTGGAGAAAAATGTTTTCGTAAATGTGACATTTATTGAGCAGTAGACCTATAGAGTAGAGAGGCAGATGAATTTAGTGATTAAAAAGATTATATTATTTTGATAAATGTATTTTTTGATTATCACAGCACCACCTTGGACCTGGCCCTATTTACAGATTGTATCTAGTTTCTTCTCACATTCACTACTTACATTGTGTTCTCTCTGCAGTGTGCACTACCCAGCTTACTCTCTGAATGTGGCGTCTATGTATCTGAAACTGGGACGTCTGTATTTGGGGCTGGAAAAGAAGACACAGGGAGTGAAAGCTCTAAAGAAGGTATTTTATTTACATCTGCTCCATTGGTCTGTGACTCAGAAAAGGACAAGAATTAAGACAGAAAGATTAAGGTCAGGAGTAAGCTGTAAAGATTACATTGATTTAAAGATCTAGTGTGGATCAATCAGCAGAAGTAAGATCTTATATTGATAATTGTGTTTTCATTAGCGTATGATTCCCTGAAATTAAGAATCATGTCAATGTCACCGTAGAATGAGACTTTTATATTCATGAGCAGGTCCTTTTTCTTGAAATCCAGTACAAACCAAACTGATTATTTAGAAGACCTTTTGTATTTTTGACATGTAGGGTGAAGTGATGGGTATTAAGCTGGTTGCATTCTGCAACTTCACTGCTAGATGCCACCAAATCCCACACTATGAACCTTTAAAGTCTCAGGCTAGTGAAGCTTGTGTACAAGTTTTGTTCCACCTATTCACACAATTTAATCTACTTTATGTTAGTGTCCTTGGCTACGTATGACACCATATCATTTGTCATTTGATCAGCTGTCATGGAAGAGGTGTCTCCACGGTTTAAAACTATATTTTTTCCCCCTTGTTTTCAGGCATTGGCCATCATGGAGGTGGCTCATGGGAAAGATCACCATTATGTAGCGGAGGTTAAAAGAGAAATTGAGGAGCAGAAGTGAGGGAGGTGCAGCTGAAGGAGCAAAGAGATTAAAGGCAGAGGCACTGGAATGAGGAACCTCTTTAAAAGCAACAACAGAAATACACATCACATCTGCATGGCATGCATCTTATACCAGTCTGTTTTTAAAACTCTTGTTGCCCACCTTCCTCTCTTCAGACAGTTTCTTATTACTCTACCATCAACATATTCATGTGGAGGATGAGCACATTTTGTATCTGCAGCAGCCTGTCAGACCTCGACTTCAAAGCAAACAAATAAGGATTCAATATTTTGGAATGGAAAAAAATCCTAAAACTTAACGTTTGACCTTTGAAGGTTATTTGAAAATAATGGTTTGTGTGCTGATGCTCAAAACACAGATTTAACACTAATACTGCTATTCAGAAAAGAATCAGCTGAGAAAAGAAGCTCGAGCTGCTGCATTTAAAGCTGCAGCAAAAGCTTTCATGAGACACCAAAGTAAGGTCAAGGGAATTTGTGCCCAGTGTTTCTGTCTTTGGGGTCTGAGGTCCTTCACTGTGATCTGTGGACCCATCAACACATGTGGCAGCAGTTCTGGCTGCACAGCTTTGTTCCAGAGCAGCTGCTCATGTACAATTTTGTTTGGAAAAAAATCATTACAAAGTGAATTTACATCAGTCAAAGAGGGTTTTACTACTGCACTTCAATTCTATCAAATATTCAGCAGCAGAGTTTCTTGCCTCATTGATTATTGCTTAAACTGAAAAAAATGACTGATGGTGCATAGAGTACTCAGTAGCAATGGAGACGAGAATACAAAGAACTATTCTTTAATGGATAACCAAGGGTTTGACCTGTCTTACAGTATGTTCTTATGTGTTTAAGAACCAGGAGAAGTGTTCTATTGTTTAAGTTTCTTTATATTTGTTGTGTTTTGTTTATTTCATATCAGGCTTGATGACCAAAACGGCAACAGATTTAACTGACAAGGAACCAGCTATAAATTCTCTGTTCACAGTGTATCCTTAAGGGGTGCTGATCTGAAATCAGTCACAGTGAAGACATAGATCCTGGATCAGAGCCCCTTTGCTCTCAGGAAAAAGGTGCAACACTGTAGCTTAAGTTGCCTTTTGTCAAGAAATGCACCATCAAAGCTTTATAGTGTTTTCTCTTCAACAGCATGAGTCCACATTGTCCTTATCCTGGGAATCAAATCATCTTAGCAGCAGTGGGCAGAGTATTTATGTGGATCAAAGACATTGTACCTTTTACAATTTATTAAAGTAAAATATGTGGAGATTATGATCACCCTCATTTACACTTTCAGCTTTATAATCAGTATGAATACTTTTTAAACAGGAGGAATGCATCATCCTTTAATTTCTACTTTAAGAGAGGTGATTTTGCACTCACACAATAACCTGGGATGATTCAAATAATCATCTGTGAAACCCTAAGATGGTGACTTTTTAAGGCAGCATTACCTTCAGCAGAAATGAGTCAGGTACCCCTGAGTCTGTGTTACTTGTTAGTAGGCTGTGGTCAACAAACCATGCTGACAGTGTTGCCTGTGTATTATGGTTTTAATCAACTCTGACCAGGACATCATAAGTAGGAGGTGGAACAGTTACAGGTCATGACACTGTATTTTTCTCTACTGTAAATTTGACTAAAGCAGCGTATTGAAATTTCAAGTTAAAAGCAGCTGTACTTGCTGTCTAATGTCAATGGTTTAGACTTAAAGACGATTCATGCAATGTGTGAAGGAGACTTTACAAATATGAAACATAAGGCAATGCAAAAATCATCACCTGGGCCTTATGTAAAGATTCTTGCACTCACAAATGCACGACTTTGTGAAAAAGAAAAGATGTCAAAATGGCAAACGTGTAAGCACATTTTCTTCAAGTTATTAGTTTGTGTCAGTAGACAGTTGGATTAGACCCTTGAACCTGCAGTCTTCACACCATGCACTGCAGAGGAACTAATGTCAGATCTGATTTTATATTTTGCTTTAAAACCTGTAGCTCCCCCTTGTGTATACTATGGATGCAGTTGTATGCACCACATGAATGTGGGTTACTGAGGAGTACATGACTACAGACAACTCATTCTCCTGAGTTGTCTTTAGTCATATTTGTAGCAGCTCCAGCACAGGTGACCATCTCTGTCATCTGTAATAATGCATCTGGACGGTGCCTGCCTTAAAGCATAGGTCATCCAAAAGCACCACTGCAACTCACTTGACCACAAATTACATGCAAAGTGCACAACCCAAAAACCATATAAACCATTTTTTTCTCTAGGTACATTTATTTTCTGGTCAGACGCCAACAAAATGCACATGATTGATTTAATTTTTCCTGAAATGTCATAAAAGATAAAAGCTGTGGCACAAGGATTTAGAGCATTGAACTCCATACTCACGCTGCATGTAGAAAACCAGGTGAAGACTGAGATCTCTGTAATGAACCGTTAATTTATCAGGCATGGATTCTATTCTAATGGTATGCATAACTAAAGTCTGAGCCTCTTGATTCTTTCTGTACCATGTCAATGGAACTCAATAAATAACATTATGGCACTCGCTTTGCTACAGATGCTTATTTGTTCACCTGAAATTTTATAAAGTTTCTTATCAGCAGGTTCATCTCACAGACACTTCATATTTTTGGATAAAGGTTCAAACTATTCACTGTAGACTATAAATGCAGTCTATGGTTCAAACAAGGGATAGTGCTGCTGAAGAATAACAGGCCCTGAATCACTTCAGTGATAAATCATCTATAAGAAGTTCACTCAATACACATCCCCAAGAAGATAGCACACTGTGAACTTAAGATGCTTAAGAAATGTAAAAACCCTGCTAAGCATCATTTGTGTCTGATGCATTTTGAGATTTAATGTGAGCCCAGCATCTGCATGTGAAAACTGTGTTTTAGTGTCAAACCATACAACATACATCCTTACATGCAGATTTAGTAACACTACACAAGAAAGAGGAGATACAATTAGATCGAGTTTTTAATCCCAAATAAAAACAACTTCTATTTATCTTCTGTATCTTATATGTCTTTGCACTGATCTTCTCTCGCTCTTCATAATTGTATACTTCAGTTATGTTTGATACTATTTGAATGCAATAAGATCACACACACACACAAACACACACGGTGAGATCCCTGCACAGATGATGTGATCTTTGGATTCAGACCTGCAGGAGCTTCAGGAACGTGTTCTCACTCTGAAGTTGGAAAATAAAACAGAAGTCATCAGCTCGAGGGCGACATCCTGAACTCCTCTTTACCACCGCGTGGCGGCACTGCTGAGACCGCTGTAAACCAATAATCTGCGTCCTTTGACTGACGTCACCTGAAGCAGCCAATCAGTGCGCTGCCGTCTTCTCGGTTGAGTTTGAATTTTCAAACGAGCCTCATTCATCAGTGGATCCGATCGAGGAGCGTCGCGCCCAAAGTAAGTGAAGCTGCTTCCTCTCGTTTGAACCGTCACTTAACAAGAACTCTTTAATCAAAGACGGATCTTCTCACTCTCACCATAACCCTATGAACCGAGGTCATCGCTGGGTCACTTACATGTCGTCACATTCATTAAAACGATGTTGAACTGCTCGGTCAACGTTACGTTCACACAAGCTACTGACGGCACTTCACGTTTGTATTTACCATTCACTCTTTTCCATCCGTGTGGGATGTATGTGTTGTGTTTAATGTCCCAGACTAGAGGCCATCCACGTGTTTCTAACGGGGACCATTAAATAAACGAGACGGTGCTATTGATTGTTAGCCGACTATTGTCCGTTAGCCACCATTAATCGTACAGAAGCTAACATTAGCTGACTTCACACAACGTTTCCTTTTTAACTCATCGGTAAAGTTTGAGGATAATAATAATAATAATGGGTTAAACCAGCTCGTTAAAGTCTGCAGCACCCGTTCAAGTAGCATTAACATGAGTGTAGTGTTCCTATTATCATGAACGCATTTAATGAACAGACTCTAGCTCGTGGTTTTATGTGTAAGAGGCTTTATAATTCAAGGAGCAAAACCAAAACACAGGGACAACCTGTGTGTGTGTGTGTGTGTGTGTGAGAGTGAGTGAGTCTGCTGCTGGTGACTCATCCTGCTGTGGCACATGTACAAGAAGGAGAAAGGGATTGCTGAAGTATAACTCAGATTAAAAATAATACAAGTTCACCTAGACGTTAAACATCCACTGACACTCTCACGTTGGTTGAAGACGTGAGGAGAAACACTGGGTGCACACTGGAGGGGGGGTCCTCAGGACCATGAGTTGATGAAGGGTTGGTGACTGGTTGTTTCTGCTGTTGAACAGCAGCAGGTCAGAGCTGGATTAGAGATGAACTGGGCAGGACAGAGGAGTAAGAGATGTGATGTACAGACTCAGAGGTGTGGTTGTGTAGCTGTCAGCATCTCATCCATGAGATGATGCACTCATAAGCGGTACAGATGGATCAGTGCAGTGCCTTTATGGTAAATGTTTTCAATGGCTTTCAATCAAGTGGCCTAATTCAGGCATTATGACAATTGCTTGACCAAGGCTGTAGCTTTTTAACAAATTCCTCGTGTTGACAGTGTGTGAGAAATTCAGATCACCTTCCACATCATTTTCCACATCACTTTCCACTGCAGAGGGAAGTCATACCTGTCCCACCTTTTGCTGTTCTCCTCATCTTTGTTGTCGTCTTCAGATCTCTCCTCAATCCTCCAGGCAGAGGATACAAACAACCTCTGCACCAAAGTGGCTGACCTCCTGTGCACCTCCTATAAATAAATTGATGTCCGTTCACTCAGGTTACAAACCATGAGCTGGGCAGTGGAGGAGTGGAAGGATGGACTTCCAGGGAAAGCCCTGCAGAAGATCCAGGAGATGGAAGTCCAGCTGGATAAACTGAAGAAGGAGAGGAGTCAGAAACAGTTTCAGCTGGATTCATTAGAGGCTGCCCTGCAAAAGCAGAAACAGAAGGTGAAAAGGATGAATTAAACTTTATTAACTGATAATGTACAGATAAATACACTGTATTTATTCCCTTGGTGGAATTACTAATGTAGCAGCCTTACAGAAGTGGAAGGTCTTTCCAAACATCCATCCATCATCTGTTTCCTCTCTCCAGGTGGACAGTGAACGTACAGAAGCCTCTGCTTTGAAAAGAGAGAACCAGGGATTAGTAGAGTCGTGTGACTCTCTGGAGAAAGCCCGTCAGAAGGTCCTCCATGACTTTGGAATCAAAGAGCAGCAGGTAATTTCTCTTTCTCTTTGATATCACAATCCCCCACTTTCCCCACCCATTTTTCAAACCATTGTCTTTTGTGTCATTTCTCCCCCGTGTTTGAAAAGCGGTGGATAAAATAGAAATGCTCTGCCAAGATATAACAATTCACTGTGATTTATCAGTGATTGGTCTGGGTCTTGATAGGACTGCAGTCCACCTGTATATGATCTAGACTCTATTAAAACGGTCACACATTATTAGAGAGTTGTAACTCCTCTGTTTGTAAAAAGGAAATTGAGGCAGAGGATATACACATTGGGGAAAATTAATTTGTAACTTCCTGTGATAACTGGATTCTGTTCCTGGTTCTATTTAGGTAAGCTACCTGGAGGGTCAGCTTAGCTCCTGCAGGAAGACCATAGATCGACTGGAGCAGGAGCTCAAGAAGTGAGTTCACTTGTGTGTCTGTTGAAACAGGGTTTTAGGTGTGACAGTTGTGATTTATAGACTAACCATGTGACTTTGTGTTTTTTCAAATGTCCATGTATTCTGTTTAAAGACACCACATTTAGATTGTGTTTGAGTTGATGCAAAGATTTCAAACGTGACCGTTGAATGGCTGGTGATGCAGTTTTTCTTATTTACCCAGGTACAAAAATGAACTGGATCGTTCTCAGCCCGCTGGTTCTTCCTCCATGTCATCATCATTCTCTGAGCTGCAGCCTTACACTACTCCCCAGAAAAGTTTCTCTACCCCCGCTCCTGCCCCAGCTTACAGACAGCAGGGTACTTCAGTTTGTTTTTATCAGTTTGTTTCTTTTTTCTTCTCATGTTGTTTCCAGCTTTATACAGACGGCCTCTGTTAAATTGTGTATGTCTGTGAACCTAGTTGAAGGTGAAGGTACATTTCTGTGATTTTGCTGCGTCGTCTATTTTCGGGACATTGTGACTCTGGAGGAATCTAAGTTTACTCTGATGTGTGCTCCATAGATAATAGACTGGAGGAGCTTCAAGAGAAATACAACCAGGAGGTAGAAGAAAGGAAAAGACTGGAGACTGAACTCAAAGTCATGCAGGTCAAAGTGAGTACATCACTTATCAAAATGATGTGTTTATTTCTTTGTAATTTGTGATGTTAACATGCCTATTTTCCTCTAGTTGTTGAATCATTCTTCAGTCGGCGTAAGTCACAAGGACATTGCTGCCCGCCAAACTGGATCTTCCATATTCCCATGGCAACAGCAAGGTCAGGCCCAAGGCCGACAGTCTCAGGATCCAATGGAAACGCCTCTGAAGAGGCGAGCTACATCTCTGTGGGACGCCCATGAGGAGACACCTATCAAATCCAGCCAGAGAATGAGCTCTTCCATAGCAGTGCAGAGTCCCAGTCGATCCTCACAACAAATGGAGCAGCTGAAGACGCTTAACCAAGGTGCGCATTTTGTTATATTGCTTCAGTTCATGTCTTGCCTCTGAAAAATGTCTTGCTTCCTTGAGTTTGACTATCATGTAACAGGGACGTAACTTTTTCTGTTTCTTAATCAGAGCTGCGTGGTCGTGTGTCAGAGCTGGAGAGGAATCTGTCCAATCAGGAGAAGGAAATTCGTAGCCAGGCCTCCAAACTGCAGGAACTACAAACTCAACTGAACCAGGCACGCAAAGACCTGACTGAGCGGGACAGAGACCTGTCCAAGACTAGTCATGAGCTGAGTCAGGCCACAGACAGACAACAGCAGCTGGAGGCCAAGGTAGGCTTCAATTACTGATACATGGTGATGGTTTGGGGTGGTGTTCTTCCTCATCAAAGTATTCTATTTTCATTCTGTGATACTGACAATAGTTTGTCTGTGATGAGCGCGGCAAATACTGTCTACTTTTACTTTTACTCATCATTGAGTTCACCAACAACCCCATATAAGACAGGAAGACAGAAAAACATGCATAGATGCATAAACTATATTTGCACGATAGATTGTTTATGTTATATGTCTGTTTCCTTACATATCTTGTTGAGGAAAGATGAGTGAAACAGGAAGCAAACGTAAATAACTGGCAAAAATAATGAAAGGTTTCTTGATTGTTCTTAGTGTTGCTCAGTTGAGCAGAAACTGAAACAAGTCACAGAGGAGATGAGCTGTCAGAGGCACAACGCTGAAAGCTGCAAACGTGCCCTGGAGCAGAAACTCAAGGACCAAGAACGAGACAGTCAGAAGGTGCAACAATGTGGCATTAAATGTTTTCATTAGGCCTTCAATGTTTTAGTTTTGATCAAACATTATTAATAAAAATATACTTTTGTATCTTTAATCCAAAGGTTTTGTTTTTGTTATATT